AATACGATCGCCTCTTCCTCCTCCTCTGAGACGAGTATACGGCACTTGCCGGAGCCTCTCATGGCGGAAACAAAGATGTCATTTCCGATTACATCCAGCTTCTTCTGGTCATCGCCGGTTGTGTTTGACGAGCCCGCCAGACCGGTCAGGTTGATCAACGACGCACGACGGATGTAGTAGGCAATGGACTTGAATGCGAACTGAAGAGCGTGGCAGAGCAATCTGTTCGCAGCCATGGCAGCATGGTTAGTTTCGGCGCAAAGTGATTCAATTCGTCAGGGGAGAAACTCACGTGAAGTCACCAGTGGCTTCCGGTACCTTGACCTGCTCTTCAGTGAGGAATCGAGTGAGGGTAATGATATCTGGGTTGATGTTCTCCTGGCCCACAGCGCCGTTGTTGCCGCTTGAAGACATTTTGACTATGGAAGGATGTGGTGGTGTATATGACAGGAGGAGAGAATTGAGATGATGTTGCTAGAATAGTTCTGAAGGAGAGCAGAATCGATATAATTCAACGTATAACCTCGGTTCGACGGAGAAACAAGGAGAGTTCCAGCAGATAGCTACAGCAAGAGGTCTACAAGACTGGAGGCAAATCGTGATAAGGGACGATTGGTGGCAATGGAATTGGATTGAGATGAGAGAGATAGGTGAAGAATAGTAGCAATGGGGAAATAATAAAATCTATCAGCTCGACAAGCAGAGGACCCGGATTGTCCCTTCTTATAGTTATACCTACTCCATGGCAGGAAGCAATAACTCTTTGCCGGTGGATCACAAGGAACGTCAGAGCCCCCGCGGATAACAGGGCAGAACCGGTCGCATATGATTTGACGCAATCCTCCTCTCTGAATTTCTCTCTTCTCTTCCCTTAGTCAGAAGAACTGAACCAGATGGTTCATCCGTACGTAAGGTATCCACAAGAGTTCCATAGATGGATATCATTATTCAAGTGGCGGTTCAGCAAGATTGACCTGATCATCACCATTGTTTTCGTCATTACCCGTAAGAAGACCCCCCGCAGTTGTTCCCTTCTCCCCGCTCTATTCCTCTTCGGGAAACTTGCCGGCTCTTCTTCTTTCCTCTGTCCGAGTCGCCCCGATATTCCCCGCGCTCTTGATAGGAGTTGATACTGCGTACTAGTATAAGTAGGTATTATTATTAGATACCTAGCAGTGCTCAATAGTATTTGGACACTCGGTCTATTGTTTCGAATCGGCGCTGTACTACTTCGATGAGCCGATGATATGCGTGCTGCGGGAAACATATGTTTACGCACTGATTATTTGAAAGTTACTGAGTACCATGTTAATATTCGTTACTCCGTTTAATGCACCGCGTCCCCCCGGAAGATCCCTCTCAATGATAAGTGGGTTCAGAGGGTCAGCAGATTCGCAAATTTGATAATAATACCCTCTGAGTTTGAGACTATTCGAGTCTCGACCCTTCCGGTTCCTGTCAGCTATTTCTAGCGCCCAAATTGAGGAAGGTCATGCGACCGGAATAAAGAAAGTCCTCCATTGATAAGCGGCGATTCTTGAGATCAGCTGACTGGGAGATTATATAAGCAGTATATCCTTTCGCTACCTTGCTCTAACGCACTTTGGACTAGCGCACTCGGTAAAATTAGCTTGGTTGAGGGAGCTTGAAAAAGATTCGAAACAGATTTTCCTCCGAGATTTTTTCCACACTCACAACACCAAAAGGATTCTGGCATCACCGATGCATGATGGCTTTTCTTCTTAATGAATGAGGAATTGCTCCCCAGCGATGTTCTACGTTGCTTATCTGAATTTGCTCATCTCGCCTTTTTGTGTGCTGACTTGACTGGTTCTCAGACATCATATGGCCTGGTAAGTCCTGATCATTTTCTCGCACTCCTCCCTAGCATGATGAAACATACAACCATTTTTCAAACTAGAGTCTTTGACCCCTTCTGGGAATGAAAACTCGGTTTTGCACGTCAGTCTGATGCTGCTTGCAATAACTTCATTGGTTCATTACCCAATTGGTTTTTGCAGTGTGCTAATGTTGCGATTTAGGACTAACAATCTCAGATTAGCTCTACAAGGAGTGTCGGTTCACCTTTACCCAATGGTATGTAATGCTATTTTCCTTGAAATCTGCCTCGATCTCTATCGCATGATGCTTTCGTATTTTTATACGCTGGAAATTACCGACCGAGACCTTCGGGTCGTCGACGATATCAAATGGCTATTTCTGATGATATTCCCATTCACAATTCTTGTTTATACTTGCCTATTGGTTGGCTGTACGCTGACAGCAACTAGTTTTTGGGAAACAGGATGTTTGAGTAGTACTGGGTGCGGTGGTAAGGCTTTCCGGCTCTTTGCAGACCCCAACATTCGATGATGAAGCGGCACTGGGCTCCGACGGCGTCGAACAGACGTCCGTTCGTGATGGATATGCCTCTTTGTGGCAGGCCTAGAAAACCTCGCCCACTGATACCTTCTCGTTACGATATCTTTTGCTTCGACCTGATTCTCAGAATTATACTGATCGTCATGGTTGGCATGTAGTTACTATGATGCACAGTTGTCTGCTTGCACTCACCAAACAGGTAAATACTTTGTCTTTTTCTCCAAGGTCCTCCTACACTGTGATGATTCCCTAGATGACGAGTCTTATTCGAGTTATCGATGCAGACAACATTCTTTTTTTACCATTCATGCATTTCTGACGAGATGTCTTCCTCGAATCTTCTTGGTCTTTGCTCCTCGTACGCAGCTAAATCCTTGATAGGTCTATACATTTAGCAGCCTTGAAGCTTCACTAACTTGCCGACGTATGCGAAAGAATGGAAAGAGGTGTATGTAGGCACCCAATCTCCACCACCGCCCTCACAATGATGAATCGACATATACAAAAGACAAGCATATGTCCAAGTCGGCTTCGCTGACCAAGACGATAATTGTCATGACTGATCAGTCGCAATACTTTGCTCATGTCTGTTGCGCATATCTAGCGATCGATGCTGACATGTTGTTCGATTAGTTGTCCCTATGTGTCACCCTTCTGGGAGATGGAATTTCGACATTTTCCAGCACCACTTGTAATACTGTCTGGCAGTACGTACCTCCCTTTTCTTTCCTTTCTGATCCCATCTTCAAATGATGATTTACTTCTATTTAATCACGACGGTCAACATAATCATTCATTGATGACCACCGCCTGTGACAGGGCATGTATCTGACACCTTCCTTTTCATATCATTCTAATATGTTACATCGTCATGACTGGATGCTAACATTTCTTCAGTATATAACAGGTGTCGTAAAACTTGCTCACTGCCTTAGGCTCTCACAGGTCCATCCTGCTTCCTTTTAAGCTGTTGTCTTGCGTGTTAGGAGATCTTCGCAATACAAACATCTTTACTTTGCAGCAGGCTAGCCTTAGTGATATACGAAATGAAATAAAATCTTACTTTTATACCTCTCCGTCTCAGCTGCTTTTCATTCCTTCTTTGTAGGACGATACTGGACATCATGCCCTTTTCATCGTCCGCAGTCAGTAGTGAATGGGACTGCCACTTTTTTGATGTCCCGGAGGACCATCTCACCTGGTCTGCGCTACCGCAACTTTAGTTTGTCGACAGACAATCTTATTAGATTCTGGACAACCCTAGGTGTGATAAGGAATCTCATTTGCCCATTGATGTCAATCCTGGGCGTGGAGTGACGGGGATGTCGACCTGTAAAAGCGCGCGGTTTCGTTGGGCTAAGCGCCAACACCACGCCGCGTGTGACGGGCGACCGTAGGCTGCATCTCGTGAAAGTATCAGGGCAGAATCGCTATGCCCGATTCTGCAGACTCTTGATAATCTTGCTCATCCTGGCCGACGGCTCCATCGGCCCAGGTCTTTGATGTTATTTTTATCTCTTTCCCCAACAGCGGATCCGACGAGTTATGCCCGTTGAACGGCCGATTCGTCTCCCCCCATGCAAGCCTCCTCCGCGGCTGGTGGCACTAAGTGTTGCAAATAATAGAAATCTGCATCTCCTTCTCGTATCCTTCCATTGACTTGTCGCATTTGGTAGGTTCCAGGGTCTGTGTTATCGCTCCAGATTCTGATCCTATTCCTGTGCGCGGATCACAGCCATGGCCACTTGTTTCGCTCCCTTTTGATCTTCCTGCCATTATGAATAGGTGCGCAGGCCCTTTTGCATAGTACTCTTTTCTGGGTTTTCTCGTCTCGATCTCAAAAAAGGATAATTGTACTGATTGCCGGCTGTCTATAGCTGGTTGTCTCCAAGTAATGCTGGTAACCGGCCGCCGCTGAATTTATATCCTCAGACCGGCTGGCCGTCAACTCATGCCAGTACCAGCAATCAGCTGTCTTCAAATCGTCGAGAACATGCTGTGCAGCCGCCACCTATAACGACCTCGCTAGGTACTCATCAGGTTCAAGGGCTGGGAGTAGCACCGGGTCCTGGTTACGCATCCACACCCCTCTCAACGACATCACTATCTAGTCCATTTACTCAAGCCTACTCGCCTGCGGTTGCCTCCCCTGGTGGCGCAATGTTAGGATCATCTCCCATGACGTCCAGACAGTACAATGTCCCTTATAATCCTCAGGATTGGGGGCCGGTGAGCGGTGCTGCTTTGAATTCCGGACATCCTGCATATCAACAGACGAATAGTATGCTTCGTGTCGTGTCACATCCGCGACAGACCGCAGGTCATTCAGGTCCGTACCACCTTATTCTTCATTTCATACGTCAGTTGTGGTTTCTTTCGCAGTCAGCCCAAGGCGAACCAATGTCTGATCTGTACGTCTAATAGAAGAATCTTTATCACCGCCGCCCCCGCCTTACTCTCCTCCGAGCCAACAACTGCAGCATCGACAGTCAAGAGAGCATGTGAATCATGACAGCTCGAATAGAGGCTCCGTATCTCCATCCGCCGCGCCATCATATCACGTTGAACCACATGTTGAATATAGGCAACGAGCCATTCCCCGAACTCGCCCGCTATCAATGGCCAGTACAGGCGATGCAGGGCACGGAAGGCACATGTCACTTCCCCCGCCTCCTCCACTACCGCAAGGTGCTACAGGATCGAGGTCATCATCGCAGAGCCGCATTGATACGTATGGCGATCGGGCTTCCTTTGGTACGGGGCAGAGACCGTCTACCGCCGTCTCTCAGGCTCAGGAGAGTCTGCAGCCTTCATCCTCGGCCAGTGAACCGTACCATATGACTCCTACTCCTCAGTTTGATAATTTCACTCGTGCACCAGGCTCCAAAAGAGCTGTTTCCGCAGGTCCCATGGTCGGCAGTGCGAGCTCTTCTAGGGCCACGAGTCAATCTCGCAGTCATTCGCCGTCGACACATGGCTGGGAGCCAGGTATGCCGCTCCCACCACCACCTCCGGGGCCTCCTCCTACCGCCAGGTCGCAAAGTGTGAGTGGCCTGTCAGAGACATCGGGAATGCGGAACTCGCAGATCTCGACGCGAAGACGGCCGCCCCCCGTTATGGGAACTGGTTTGGATAGCATCCCACCAACTCCCGCCGGCTGGGTTGATGAGGGATCGGGCCAGAGCAGACACAGGCGGGATAGGGAACTCCCGAACATTGACACATCCAGCGCGGCCCTAGCTAATCGCGGGATTACTGGGTCAGAATCCAGGGATCCCACCTACGCCTCTCAAAGTTCAGCCAACAGTGGTCTCTTCCGTAGCCCAGCTATTCGAGACGCAAGCGCCAAAGGTATTCGCGAGAGGCGTATCGAACGCCGAAATAGACAGAGTCAAGTTTTCGAAGACTACAGCGCCGTCTCAAGCAGTAGCAATCCTTGGGCCGATGCTCTAGATCAAGTGAAGCCTTCCGATCTCGTCCTTGACAACTCAAACGCTAGTCATGGAAACGGGCGGCACCCCAACTCAACGAAGTTTACGCCTCGAAGCACCGCTAGCGCCGGCTCTGACGGGCAGCAACTTGGCACACGGTCGAGGGCATCCTCTACAGGTCTGTTCTCAGGCCGTTCCTCCTTCTCCACTCCCAGAGCGGAACCCAGTCCGGCAGGGCCACTTCGCACCTTTGCTCAAACTCCACCATTCTCACCCGACAACGAGAATGTATCCCCAACATTCGCTAAGGCCGCAGCCTCGCAGGCTTTGCCACCAAAGGCTCTCCCAACACCCCCATTGCAATCGGGTCAAGACCTGAGATCATCGGCACGGTTGACCCCCAGTGAGGAACGTCCGGTTTCCCACATATTACACCTTCCTAACGATTCTTTGCCCGCTGTGGCTCCGCTGTCTCCCCGACGCCTGGCAGCACAGCAAGGATCGTCCCTGGACTCTGTTCTCAGTCAGGATTTGGGGTTTATTCGTGATGCCATGCAGAGACACAAAGAATTCATCGAGAAGGAGGCAAGCGCTGTCAACGAGACGGAGGCCTTGAGAATCTTCGCGGATTTCATCATTGCCGAGTCTCAGATCAGACGCGAGAGATACGGCAAAGTCTGGGACTCGGGCACTTTCGATGTTGAGGCAGCCCGCCGCAAGCTGTTTGAATTGCCGCCAAAGCCAATTGTCGAACCCCAGAACAACATTGCAGCGACTGTATCCCTTTCTCGGCAGCCTTCACGCGGGCCACGAGCAGTACCGGCATTAGACATACCTACAAGCCGCCCTGAAACTGCCTGGTGGAGCAATTACAAGCCTTGCTTGTCACCCATCGCGAGCATGAGTATGAGTAACGACGAGATGAGCTCCAGGGGCCGGGCACCCAGTCGCTGGTGGGAGTCGAAAACTGGCTCAGAGAGTGAGGGCGGCGAACGAAAGGTTCAGCGATCGAAGCGAGAGTCAAAGTACATGGGAGTGCCTCGGGAGGCTATGCAATGGGCGGAAGGGCAGGAGTCTTTTGGCGCGAGTCAACAAAGCTACGAATCAAATGCAACGAGTCAATACGCCGCTTATGGATCAGACGAATACCCGCCTGAAAAAGTCGGATGGCATGAAGAGCAAGAGCCCGCTCCCTCGGACTTCTCCAGCTCTGCGCCACGTCATGGATTTGGACGGACGAGGGAAGTCCAGAAACTCGATGTCTCAAGGTTGATTACTTTACCACCACCTTATCCACGGCATCACCCTGCTGTTAACAACAGCCACCCCGACCTCGTTGCCTACCGAACGCTGGTGCGATCAATCAGCGATCTCTCTGAAATCAAAGCAACAAGACAACGGCATCAATCCGAAGTGGAACGCTTATTAAAGAGCCATCGGGAGACAGTTGACGAAGGTCGTCGGCAGTTCAAAGCCAACATTCAAAGCCAGATCCAGCAAGGTAGTATAACCTTCGCGGAGGCCGCCGAGGCTGAAGCCGCTTTGATCGAAGAAGAAAACCGACTTGAGAGGGAATTGGTTAAGAAAGAGCTGGATACGTACCAAGAGTCGGTCATGAACCCGACACACGCTATTCTAACGGACCGAATCAACCGAGCCACCACTTGCATTGACGAATTGATCGGAAAGTTGTTTGATGATGCGCAGCATGAAACTCCGGACCAGACTCAAGAAGAGGGCGACGAGAAGCCGGAATTACTGGAGAAGCTTAAACAACTGAAATGGCTGTTCGAAGGCCGGGAAGGGTTGCATCGGGAAGCGTACGAGCTTGTTGCAGATCGCGATGAGAAGTATAAAGCCGTTGTCCTGCTACCCTATAGACAGAAGGGAAACGAGGAGAAGATCCGCGAGACCAACGCCTTCTTTGCCCAAGATGCTCTCGACCGACGAGTGGCGTACGAAGCAAAAGCGCTGTCCCGTCTCGAATCCTTCCTAAGTGTAATCGAGGAGAATGTGGTTCGGGGGGTCGAGGTACAGCTGTCAGCGTTCTGGGACATTGCACCCTCTCTACTGGCTCTGATCCAACAAATTCCGAACGACCTTCGTGGCTTCCAGATACAGATCCCTGCCAAAGAGTTTGAAGAGAACCCGAGTTACCACGAGCACCCGCTACAGTACCTCTACACGCTCCTGTCGCACGCGGAGAAATCCAGCTATCAGTTCATCGAGTCTCAAATTAATCTGTTCTGCCTGTTGCACGAAGTGAAGTCTGCTGTGATGGGAGCCAACTGTAAGCTTATGGAGGCCCAGCGTATCCGCCAGGGCGAAGCAGAGGATGCTGTGCGACGTGAAATGCAAGAATCCCGGGCAGAGGAAGAGCTCGCGTTGACCAACGATCTCAAAGATAAAGTCGCTACAGTGGAGGGCCAATGGACTGAAGCCCTGGGGAGTCAGATACAGGACCTCCGAGAGCGAGTGAAGACATATCTTATGAATGAACATGGCTGGGAGGAATTGGAGCAGTTGGAAGAGGCATGAGACAGGACATCTGCTCACTCTTCATCGCTTTATCTACTTGTTTTGTGTTTACGAAGATACCCATATACGTTCGCTATGAGATACACATGTTCAGAAGCTACAATGGAGACCAATGCCCATCAAACTCACTATTATTATCAGTTTCATCTTTTACAGAGGTGTATTCGACCCGTTGATACTATGGTGTCCACTTCTCCTGGGTCCGTGTCACGTGATCGCTTGGCTTCTAGAGCTTTCCTTTTGAATCTGCTCAGCTTCGAAGTTTTTCCCACTTCTGCTGCACTCCCGAGGGCAGACTGCTGTATTAATAACCACCCCTCCCCCATAACGGTATTCCCCTCTCTGCCTCTCTAGACCAGCACATCTCCGCAGTAAGAAAGATTAATTGATCTACGTCTTCTGCAGCGTCCTTGGTTTTGGACCTAGTCTGCGTGTCACTGTGAGTAATCCTTCTACTTTCCTCTTCACCTTTCTCCCTATCGTTTGCAAGGCCATTGGACCTTGCGACTATCTGAAACTCGCTTCATATGATGAGATATCATAGCTGGCACCAGTCAGACGGGGTGGTTATCAACCATTTCCACTGCTGATTAGCTCTGGTCCGGGAACGCTACCCGAGATCCCTGACAAGAAGCACTCATTTTGCATCGGTTTCTTCGCTCGACTCACGTCAATTGCTTGAGATTGGTTACTAATGCCATTGCTTTGCAGAACCTAGTAACCCGGTTTCTCCACCGCGAGCAAATCGTTCCCATATCATCAAGAGCCTCCAGCTACAAAATATCATCATGGTCCTCCACAACCCCAACAACTGGCACTGGGTGAATAAGGATGCCTCGGCTTGGGCCAAAAATTATTTGAAAGAGAAGCTTCGCACGCTATCCGTCGAGGAGGATGGCGTCTCCGTGAAGATCTCGGACCTACTGACTATGGACGGCGACGTAGACGTCAGCCAGAGAAAGGGCAAGGTCATCACTTTGTTCGACGTCAAATTACAGTTAGAGTACGAAGGTTCGTAAGACTCTTGCGGCTTAGCTATCCCGAGAGTATCGCTAATAGCTCCCCCATAGGTAAGACGAAGGACGAGGAGTCAGTCAGTGGCACCATTACTATTCCTGAGGTTGCCCACGACACGGAGGAGGATGAGTACGTTGTATGTGTCCCGCCCGCCATACCTCACTACCGCCGGATTCGTAGTTCGCGGAGTTAACAAATGTTCTTGCTGTAGTTTGAGATCGAGAACTACTCTGATTCCGCCTCCAAGCAACCGGTGAAGGACCTCGTTCGTTCGAAGCTTGTTCCCCAAATCAGACAAGAGCTTGGCAAGCTTGCTCCCGCTTTGATCGCCGAGCACGGAAAGGACATCCAACATGCTCCTGGCGTTAATCCTTCCAGCGGTTTCGCTACACCACCCTCCTATCCCCAGACTTCCAAGAGTGCTAGCCCTGCTCCTCAGACGACGACCACCACCACCAACAAGGTCGCTGTCAACACCACCACAGTCACTGCCTCGGATGAGTTCCGTACCACCGCTGAGGAGATGTATACCACCTTCACTGATCCTCAACGTATCGCGGCTTTCACCCGTGGAGCACCTCGTCAATTTGACGGCGCGCAAATTGGTGGAAAGTTCTCTATCTTCGATGGCAATGTCAACGGAGAATTTGTCAAGCTCGACAAGCCTAAGCAGATTGTCCAGAAATGGCGGCTGGCGCAGTGGCCTGAAGGCCACTTCAGCACTCTGGAGATCAACTTCGATCAAAACGACGTTGATGCCGTCACCCAGATGCGTGTCACCTGGACCGGTGTTCCTGTCGGCCAGGAAGATGTGACCAAACAGAACTGGGACGTCTACTACGTCCGCAGCATCAAGCAGACTTTCGGGTATGTCATTCTTCCCTGTTCCAACATCCAATTGCTTCCTTACCATGTTCCTCTCAGATCTCATCCTACATCTTGGAGACACTTGCTGATTGCTTTGCTTGTTCTTTTCGTCGCTATAGGTTTGGCACTATTCTCTGATCGCATCCACGGAGTTCTGGAAACCACGTATTAAATAGTACTTGCCGATTGGGGGTTGAAGGCGTTGGAAGACCGTGCCTTCAGCAGCACGCCAGAGCGCGGCTCGTTCTGGGCTGGCATGGCCTTTGTATGTCAAACGAGGCATCTGGAGCCTTTTGATCGCAGCCCCTTGGTAATTTGGACCCTCACTCATTCACACCCAAGAGGGTATAGCTCGATGAAGTTACGATAGAAAGTGAGACGATCACATCAATGTACAGACGAATTAGAATGCAAGTCTTGGTCTAAGCAATGCCAATTATGTCTTAATGATATAGTTCTATTTCCGTTCTAATTCCCTACAATATTTAAATGACTTCCAAACTGGTTGACTAATTGTCAAACTTTTTGATCGTGAAATTAGTTTCATATCCGTAGAAGTCTAATGATCTCATACAAAGAGGAAGCTTAGATGGTCTTCTCAATCATCTCAATGCCGTATTCCTCCTTGAGAGTCTTGAGGAGAGGCTCGCAGATATCCCAGGTCATGGGGGCAAGGACACCCTGGATTGAAGCACATATTCAATCAGTCTCTGCTGGCCACTTTAACACGGGAAAGAATGTAGATGACTCACCTTCTGGCTGATGGTGCCATCGAGGACCAGCTTGACCGCAACTCCGCAGGGGACACCGACGGTCTTGGCCATGGCGGAGTAACCGTTGGGATCACCGTACTCGACAAGGGTGCTGGTTCTGGTCTCCTTGGAGCCGTCCTTGTGCTCGATACCGAACTTGTGCTGCAGCATGACCATGTCCCGCTCGCCGGGGCCGTACTGCATCTTGCGCTCGAGAGTGGCGCAGAGAGTGTCGAGGGGGTTACCGCGGGGGGTGATCTGCTCGTCGGAGAAGAGGCCGATCCAGCGAAGGCCGGAGATGAGGCGGTTGCGCGAATCGTTGTCGGTGAAGGTGGTCTTGGAGGCGATGGCCCACTCCAGGTCCTTCTCGTCCGACGAGGTGGCGCCGAGAATCTTCTGCGTGGCCTCCTTCCAGGGGATGGGGGAGTTGAGGAAGTCCTGGGCCTCGTCGCTGAGGAAACCAATGTCCACCAGCACCTTGATCATCTCGGGGAAGCCCTGGTAGCGCAGGGTACCACGGATGACGGTCTGGGCCTCGGGGATCTGGTACCGCTCGCGGTAGGGGCAGGAGTCACGGTTGGGGTAGGCAACGAAGGCGTAGCCGGGGTAGATGTAGTAGGGCTTGGCGGTAGCCATGAGGTCGGGGCCGGCAACGCTGAACTCCTTGCCGTCCTTGTAAAATTTGGCGGCGTTTCTGAGGGCAAGAAGAACACCGCGGCTGGACCATGAGAACTTGTAACCCAACGGGTTGTCGGAGCACTCGGGGGCAGGGAGACCACCACAGTAGGAGAGGAAAGAAGTGATCTTACCACCCTCGGCGTGTACCTCGGAGATGGTCTTGACAGCGTACAAGTGGTCGATACCCTAGAAGCAGAGTCAGAAGAACAAACTCAGATCCTCAGATCCCGACATGATAGCGTAATGTGGATGCTGAACATACCGGGTCCAGACCAATCTCGTTCATGACTGTGATACCGGCCTTCTTGCATTCCTCGTCCAACTCCATCATGGCAGGGGAGACGTATGAGGTGGTGACGACATGCTTCTTTGTGCGGATGGCGGACTTGATAACAAGGGCGTGGAAGGTGTAAGGAATCAGGGAAATAGCAAGGTCGACCTGCTCGAGAGCCTTGTCCAGAGCAGCGGCATCGTTTACATCGAGGGCAATAGCCTTGGTGTTGGGAAAACCTTCGCAGAGCTTCTGGGCACTCTCAAGGGTTCGGCAGGCTGCAAATCACATCAACATCTTGTCAGTCTATGTGTATCAAATTCTGTGATGCAAATGAGATGTCCGGGATACATCCATCCAGCTTCATCTGTTCAAGCCAGCTGCCACTGGTCCGGTAGGGATCATGAAAGGTATATGCAACCTCCAAGTAAGAAAGGAGGTATATCAACAGAATGTATACGTACCAACAGTGACATGCACATCACCCTTGGTGAGAACCTCAACGGTGGGCTTGGTGACTACCAGTCCATCAGCCAAAAAAGTCCAAGTGAATGCGGGGTTCCATGTCTCCGGAGCATGATCAGGAGTAAAAGAGCCATACCGAAGCCAGAGCCCAGAAGAAGGACCTTGGAACCAGCAATTTGCTTGACCATTTTGGTGATTGATAACAATTGAATGCCAGGTAGGTGAATTGAGTCCAAGACAAGGAAATCACTTGTGCTTCGGCCGTTCCTTTCCCACCACTTCCCCGCTGTCGCTCTGTGGAGTGAGTCATGTGCAGTCACGTGTGCTCCATATGGTGATAAGAGCTGCGGTATCGGAGACTTCATGTCCCCAGAATTGTATACGTCCTGCTCTTGTGATGAAGCTCACTTTGTAGAGGGAGATGTATTTATAGTGGTAATTATTTCAGGATCCGGTTAGGTGTCTTTGTCAATCTTCCATCTTGGACCGTTGGCGGAATGCCGGCAACCACGTGATCTCCGCCGGCGGGGTGTATACAGTTACCCTTTTCGGTAACCACTCGGGCACCTTTGTATGACAAAGTCGAGATAGAAAGGGAAACGGCAATATATTAAAAGGTTGTAATGCAGACCATGGTATCTATCTACCAAATGAGCACCAGTAATCAGAAACAGGAAATTATGTACCCGCGGGGCGTCCGGACCCCTCTCTCATACCCGTCTCCCTCAAGAAGTAATATGCGTTAATGAAATATTGTGGGAATCTAATTGTTCGCGAAATACCTAAGGCCCAAATATGGACCCAGGGCTTTGTTGGACACCGTTTGGTGTCTCAGATACTGCACGGCTTCCGCCTTTTTCCTGGTCGATGCCGGTGACTGAAGGTGTTTTAGATCGAGAATTTCTACTGGGCGTCATCAAGATACCTCCCGGAGAAAGAAACATCAAACC